TTGAAAGCGACATATGTTTTCGACTGAGTTCAGCCTACAAGCTTGCAGCTGACCATCTCGAAGTGGAAAGTGATGAAAGTTGGAAGAAATTGTGGAAATGGAAGGGGCCAGCTCGGGTCAAGCATTTTCTCTGCCTGGTTATCCATGAAAGACTACTCACTAACAAGGATAGATTGAAGAGGAAGCTGTCCACAAATGAGAACTGTAACCATTGCACTACAACAGAGGAGTCAACTGATCATATCATTCGTCACTGCAGAAGACCAAGGGAATATGGGAGAAGTTCCACAGTAACGAAGCTGCAAGTATCAAGTTTGGTCTTATTTGTTGCCACTTGTGGAAGCAGAGGAACGAGGAATGTATGGATGGGAAGATTTTTCCGAGGCCACACTATTGTGTAGAATCGACGCGTGGTTTCGCATTGTCAAGCAGGCGCAAATGAATGTTAGTAAGTGTTTCGACCATGCTTTCAGACAAAGAGCTGATATCAACCTTGCTTGGATTCCTCCTCCTGAGGGCTGGTTATAGATTCAATCATATGGATCTGTCCTCTCTCCCTCATGAAGTGCAGCGGCAAGCGGGTTAATTAGGGACTGTGAGTGATCCGGGCTTGAATTGATGGATCATGCATGATGTAATGGCCATTGCCCAAACTCGTTCTATTAGTTATGCTAATTAGAACGCTTTTGCGTCCGTCTTCCTACCCAAAAAAAACTACGTTCCCTAGAATGTGCAGGATGGTTTCACAAAACTTTCGTTTTAGGAGATTTTTGGATAGAGATTTCTTTTTGACTTTTTTTCTTTTGTTATTGGATGGGGGAAAATCAAGGATAAATCTAAGTTTAGCAAGTTTTTTTTTATAATGAATCCCTGAAATTTATTAAGAGCTTTGCATCTCCTTAGCCAAAAAGCTTAGGAGGAAAATCGGTGGTCTAGAGTTCCAGGTTTCCAGAGTCTCCCAATTACAACGAGTATGAGCCATAATATGGGTCGATTCATTCCCAGTTCGCTTTACAAAGCTCCAATTGATCGACCCCAGTCTCCGGGCCTCATCTTGCAAGTCTCGAATCACCAGGCCCGACTCCAGCCTCGTTTGGTGCATCTTCTGAAGAGCAGTGGCCACTATTTGGCAATCCATTTCCATCACCGCTTGACTGTATCCACTCATCTCCTACTGCTTCAAGCCAAATTATACGGCATTCATCTCTGCAATTTCTGGTGGCTAGCAGCTCCGCTCCCGCCGCACCGCAGCTCACAAGCAATCTCCATACTCATTTCTCATAACCACCTCGAAGCCCGTGCCCTCTCCTTTCAACACCGCCGCATCAACATTCACTTTCACCCATCCATTCGGTGGCCATTTCCAGGTAATCACTTTCGACTCTCGCAACTGCTTCTCTTGTCTGTGGTAGGATGTGTATTCTGCCCAATAGTCTAGGGCCTTCCCAACAATTTCTCGTTCTTCTGCCTTCTTTCGATTGAAGAATTGATTGTTCCTCTAATTCCATATCATCCATAGAATAACCATAAATTGTTCGAGCGTTTCATCATCTACCCGTTCCATTACCTCACAAACTCAACTTCGCGATGATACTTCTGGTTCCAGCTCGAAAAGGGGGCGAACGATGAATGGCGCCATACCCTAATTACCCGCTGGCATTCACGAAATATGTGATTTTGGGTTTCTTCCATTCGCTGCTTCCTTTTTCCTAGCTTCGATGCTCTTTCCTGTTGGTAGGATGTTGTGAACAAGCCGCCAGGAAAAGATTTTGACCTTTGCTGGTATTTTGAGTTGCCATAGTCTTTTCCAGTTCATAGGGTCATAAACCTCCACCTCTGATTCTAGCTCTTCCTCCCATCCATTCTCTTCTTCGAGCACAGTCTCCTGGGTAATCTTACTACTCTTCTGGGCTAGCTTATAAGCTGTCTTAACCGAGTATATCCCTATTCTTTTGTAACTCCAAACCCGATCATCCTCAACTGGCTGTCTAGGAATAGGAATTCTCGTTATGCGCTCCTGGTCAATGGGATTGAAGTAGTGTTGCAGTAAGTTGTATCTCCATGTTCTGCTTTCCTGATCAATGAGATCAGCCACTGCCCTAACCTCATCTGTGTCCACCTCAGGTGTTACCACTTTAAATTCATCGTCTTTCGCCCCTGGTATCCATTTCTCTCCCCATACCTTCACACTGGTACCATTACCAATCCTCCACCTTAGGCCGTTTTTAACCAAGTCTTGTGCAGCAAGAATGCTCCTCCATGTATAGCTTGGATTGTTTCCTAATTTCGCCTGCAGAATGTCAGTGTTAGGATAATACTTAGCTTTCAGTATTCTCGCTACAAGGGATTCTGGATCAGCGGCGGATCCAGAACAGGTTAGAGCACTGGGCCGCATTTAAAAAGCGATGCAGAGAGTTGGGTCATAACCCTATAAATATTGAAATATATACCCAAAATGGGAAATTTACAAGTACTATACGAGCTTTGAATCCGGAGAGGGCCGGCCCCCCTAGATCTGCCGTTGTTCTGGATTGGTGAGCAAGTTCCAGATTTGCTTCCCAAGTAGTACAATATTGAAAGTTTGTAGATCACGGAAACCCATTCCACCTTCTTCTTTAGGTTGGCAAACCTTCTTCCATGATTTCCATGGAATTCTACGCTCCTCCTTTTACTGTCCCCACCAAAAACTCGATATAGCCTTCTTGATTTCATTCAATACTCCACCAGGTACCAGATAATCCATTCAAGTTTAGCAAGTTAATTACATAACACCAACCTAATTTATCAAAACCAAATCTAAATATTCTGATCAAGTGGCAAGATCCAAGCTAGCTATAAAAACAATAGTAGAAGTTCTCGTTAGTCAGTACTCTCGTTTGCTGCCTAGATTCCATCAGCTCCTCGAAGCGGCCAATATGCTCCAAAATCAAGAGTATCCATGATGTGAAAAATGGTTCTTCCCCTTTCCATTCTTTTGTTTGATCTGTGTGAAACAATTGAGTGAGAAACAACCTTTTGGCAATAACTAGATGCAAGTGAGAACCGAAATAGATATAGCTGCTGATGTTGACAGAAGGTTGGTTGAGGAGCTCAAACTTCTCTATAACTAATTAGAAAATTGTAGCCGTAGGAGGTAACAAGAAAAACTGAACATAAAGACAACAATTATTGGAAGCAATGAAGAGAATAGTAGATCAAAACAAAGTGATGATGAAGAAAATTAAAAGCAATAGTTAATTACCACTACTCTAACTCCCACAGTTATTTACCACTACTCTTTAACTCTCACGGAAGTAAATATAAACAGTTCGATTTCAAAGCCGTTACGTATTAGTGTTTTTGAAACCATATTTTATCGGCGATTCAATCAGAATTATCTTTACCATAGAATAAATCAATAGATGAATTTTAGCAATATGAAATGATTGAACTATGATTAAATCACGATTTTCAGCACAAAATACTCGACCTCTAACTTTTTTCGGTACAAGTTTACAATCATTGCCATGTAATAATGGGTCGTCAATCGTCATACCCTGCTTCGCTCATCTTTCGGCCATTCGATGCCTTTTAACTCAAAATTTATTGTTTAACACTATTAACATTATATCTTAAAAGGAGAAAGATCGTAGTGCGATCACAAAGTATAATCTCAGCTATTGAATTACTAATAATTAGTCAAATGTCAACTTCTGGCTAGCAATTTTGGTAGTAATATTGACTTGGCAATATGATACTGACTTGGAAGAGACACAACATAGAAGTCAACATTCCAAAACTATAGTGTTTTAACTAAGAAAAGAGTTAGAAATTATTAACGATAACAGAAAAATTACTAATGTTTTGATGTATTAAAAAAATTTGACTAATTATTAGTAATTCAATAGGTTTGACTAATGAAAAATAATGCGAATTTTTTTTGACTAATATCCCTATTAAATGTAATTACCTGGAAATATAAATATTTTGCATGAAGTGAGACAAAAAAAAAACTTGTAAATATATGCGGACAAAAACATGTAAAACAAAACAAAAAGAAATCCAAGAATTTTAGCTAAACAGGCAAGCAAGCGACACATACAAAGAACTTTTTCGTGTTTCACAATTCACCCATCTACTACTAGTAGAGGCTAATAATAAATAGTTCACTATAACAGAAGAGAGACGAAAGTTGTCTGTAACTTGAGGGGAAGCCAAAGCTGAAGGTTGTCCTGTCTCAAAACTTTCTGCAGCTTGAAGAAGGAAGCAATGGCAGTTACAGTGACGGTGAGAGTTCCAGTCCCACTCCATTTTCCTCTTCTTACATATCAGTAGTTGCTTTCTGAAGTTCCCGTATTATCTGGGTTGCATAGCAGACACCAATAATGACCAAATCAGCGGCGGACTTGGAAGCGAGAGACAACATGATCATCCCCAACTACACTGTGCAGGAACCAATCATTGTCAGAGCTACTGCAACAAGAGAGACTGATAACAGTCACAGCAAGCTGCAAGGTCCAAGAAGATCATCCACAGATTGTTCTGCCGCTGCCTCACAGTTTCATCAAAGCCAGAGAGCAGCACTGTTGGCAGCAAGGCAAATGCGGAAAACAGTTAGCAGCTCAGCTCTTTACAGCCGCACCTGCAGTACTATGAGTACTGATAATGGATCCGGTACTACCACTAATAATGGGCGTCCTCAATCTCCCCTGCCTCTGCCTACTCCTGCTACTGCATCTTCTTCTCCAGCTCCATGGGAAAGAAAAGCTGCAGGTTCATCACCGAGACCTGAAGCCCTTGCCCCTCCGACTCCTGCCAGGGCTCCTCCCCGGTTCAGATCGTCGTCATCAGCAGCTCGATTCAGTGATGCGGTATGCAGTTTTATAATTCGGCAAGCATGAATGCATATGCAGAAGGATGCAGATTTTTCTCTTTGTTATGTTCTTTTCTCTTGACGTGGATTTGGTATGGTGGGCAGTCTGATTGCAGCAGCTCTGCGGTGCCGAAATTCGGGGACTGGGATGAGATGGATCCTTCATCGGCAGATGGATACACCCACATTTTCAACAGGGTCCGAGAAGAGAGGCATGCAGCAGCAGCAGGAGGAAATACGCCAGTCTCCAATGGTACTGGTACTCGTCACTCCCAGCAGGCTAATAGAAAGCACCATCCAAGGACTAGGAGAAGAAACTCCAGCAATAAGGTATATATATACATAGTTACCTGTCAAGTGAGAAGAGATTATTGAGTCGTTGTACTTGTTAGCCGAGCTGGGTTTGGGGTCTCTGATTGGTGTCTCGGCCCATTTATTTACCCATTTATGTATATGCTAAAAGCCCATGCCCATGCAAACTTGTACGTAGAGAGAGCTAGGGTTTGCTTGTTAGGGTTTTCGGCATATATATATAGATGTGTAAACCGAGTGTGTTGATAAAGCTGAATAAGAGATCCGTCTTCCCCGTGGACTAGTCGGTATTGCAATCTGCAATACTGGAAACCACGTAAATCTGTTCTTGTTTCGCTCTTATTATCGCTAAGCTCAAGGTAATCTAACATGGTATCAGAGCTATCGAAGATGGATAGTGAGAAGATGACCCTACGTCTCAATCACAAGAACTACGCACTGTGGGAATTTCAATTCCGTGTCTTCATCGAAGGACAGGGAATGCTCGGAATTCTCAATGGCACTATCAAGCAGCCGACGGCGTCGGCTACGGAACAGGAGATTGCTCGCTGGGGGCAACAGGATGCTCGGATCCGATCTTGGATCCTTGGTTCAGTCGAACCGACGATCGCGCTCGGCCTCCGGATGCATACTACGGCACATGGGATGTGGTCGCACTTGGCGTCCACCTATTCCTCCGTGAATACGGCTCGTCAATTTGAAGTGGAGATGGCTCTCGGACGTTTGGAGCAAGGCAGCCAGGATATCACCACATACTTTAGTGCTGCCCAGGAGCTTTGGATTGAGCAGGATCTTCTGACCGCCTCGCTCCGTTCCAAGGAAGCCTCTGCCGAGGTTCTCGAAGAGCGCCAGCGTACTCGCCTATGCCATTTCCTCATGAAGCTGCGTCCCGAATTCGAGACGGTTCGTTCCACTTTGCTGAATCGCGAAGACCTGAAATTTGAGGGGGTTCTCGGCCTCTTGGTGCGCGAGGAAACCCGGCTTCGCACTCAGGCGCAATTGGACGTTCGTCCAGGTGAAGGCGAAACGGTATTCGCAGCCGCTGCGGATCCCTCGCACGCCGTGGTAGCTGCTGTCCAACGACCCCAATTCCAGCGCCGGGTCGCCACGAGCGATGTTGAATGCCACCATTGTCATGAGAAGGGGCATTATCAGAAACATTGCCGTCGCAAAAACTTTTGCGTTTACTGTAAACGCTCTGGGCATATCGTTTTGGACTGCCGCTCCGCGCAACGCGCTGCTGCTCGGGCGACAACGACGGGAACGCCCACTGACCGCCAGGCTTATGCGGTTGCTTCTTCTTCAGATGGTCCAGTCACCAAGACGTCGAGCCCTACGGTGAATGCTGCTGCCGCGATGAACGTTGCTGCTGTCGAACAGGTCGTCAACGCCGCTCTTCAGCGCTCGCTGCCTGGTGCGATCAGCAGCGCCTTTGCTGCCCTTCAGGTTACAGGTATGACTCCGCCTTGGCTCCTAGATTCCGGCTGTTTTAATCACATGACCAACGATGCTAGCAAATTATGTGATAAATTTCCAGTTTCGGATATGAACCTACGAGTTGCTAATGGGCAACGTTTGAAAGTTCAGGGCATTGGTCAGCTTAATACTCCTAAGCTTAATTTACCAAATACATTACATGTCCCAGCCTTGGTGCCGAATCTTGTTTCTGTTGGCCAACTAACCGAGCAAGGCTGTTCTGTTTCATTTGGACCTTCGGGTTGTGTTATCCAGGACCTGAAGACGGGGAGGCAGATCGGGCGAGGGAGTAAGCAGGGACGTGTTTTTCACCTTGAGGAGCTCACGAGTCGATCGGAGACTTTGCCACCAGTTAGTTGCCCTCCTGTCAGTAGTCCTTCGGTTAGGGTTGTCAGTAGTCATGATCCTTTGGTGTCTAGTGTTTCTAATTCTTTGAGTCGTTCTAAAACTGCTTGGGAACTATGGCATGCTCGTTTAGGCCATCCCAATTCGGCCCGTCTAATGTTTATGTTCAAACAACAATTGCTGGGTTTTAATAAAAGTGGCATTTCCTCGTCCCATGAGTGCACAAGTTGTGTTGAAGCAAAACTCAAGAGTATTTCGTTTCCTCCTAGCAAAACCGTGATTACTGAACCGTTTCATATCATTCATACAGATCTTTGGGGACCGTCTCCCACGGTTTCACGCTCTGGTTTTCGCTATTTTGCTCTTTTTGTCGATCATGCAACTCGGTTTACTTGGGTGTACTTCCTTCGACTCAAGTCCGATTTGCTTTCAGTTGCCACTGAGTTTTTAAAAATGATCCGCACCCAGTTTGATAGGCCAGTTAAGATTGTGCGGTCTGATCCTGGTGGGGAATTTAGCTCTCATCCCCTACGTGATCTCTATCGATCACTCGGGACTGTATGTCAGAAGTCATGTCCCGGTACCTCCCAGCAAAATGGCCTTGTTGAACGGAAGAACAGGCATGTTGTTGAACTGACTCGTGCTCTCCTGCTTGATTCCCATGTTCCTCCTGAATTCTGGCCGGAAGCAGTTGCTACGGCAGTCCGTCTCATCAACTATCAGGTCACGCCTGTTCTGGACAACAAAAGCCCCTATTTTTCCCTGTTTTTGAAACATCCCGAGTATAGTCGTCTTCGTGTATTTGGGTGCACATGTTTTGTTTTGACTCCTAAGCGTGAACGAAACAAGTTATCATCCAAAGCTGCTCGTTGCATGTTCCTAGGCTATAGTGATGTCTACAAAGGCTACCTATGCTTTGATCCCGTCCTAGGCAGAATTCGTATAAGCTGTAACGTCGTGTTTTTTGAATCCATGTCCTTCTATTCCAAATCCCAGCCATCCTCGTTGTCTTTTCTTTCCCAGTTACCTACCCTTCCTATGTTTGATGAAGATGATGTTGCCGCTGATGAAGAGTTCCCTCCGCCCGATGACCTCGATCTGCTTCTCTCCCCACCGGCGTCTCCCTCGGCCAGCACGCCTGGCCCCCCGGCCAGCTCTCCAGATCACTCGGCCGCCTCGCCAGGTCTCTCGGCCGCCTCGCCTGGTTCCTCGGCCAGCACGCCTGGCCTCTCGGCCAGCTCGTCCCCCAGCTCTGGTCGCTCGGCCAGCTCGCCCGGCCTCTCGGCCCGCTCGGCCAGCTCGCCTGGTCTCTCGGCCCGCTCGGCCAGCTCGCCTGGGCTCTCGGCCCGCTCGGCCAGCTCGCCTGACCACTCGGCCGGCCCGTCCAGCAGCGCTGGTCCCTCGGCCAGCTCCTCTGGCCTCTCGGCCAGCCCGTCCAGCAGCTCCTCAGGCCCGTCCAGCAGCTCCTCTAGTTCGTCGAACTCCCACGAGGCCTCACCGCCTCCTGCTCCTGTACTTCGGCGCTCCTCACGTCGTACTTTGGGTCAGCTTCCAGTCCGATTTAATGATTATCAGGCTTATGGAGTGGCTGCCATTGCCATTCCTACACGATATAAACAGGCACATGGTGATCCAAATTGGGACAACGCTATGAAGGTAGAGATGGATGCTCTTCATGCGAATCGGACGTGGACCATGGTGGACAGGCCTCCTCCACCAGTTCCGGTTGTCGGCAGTCGCTGGGTGTACAATATCAAGGTTCATCCTGATGGAACCATTGAGCGATTTAAAGCCCGGGTTGTTGCTCAAGGTTACACTCAGGAACAGGGAGTGGATTATGACGAGACGTTTGCTCCGGTAGCGAAGATGACTACAGTTCGTACTCTCCTGGCTGTCGCAGCTGTGCGGGAGTGGCCTCTCTATCAACTCGACGTGAAAAATGCGTTTTTGCACGGGGATCTCAAGGAGGTGGTTTATATGGAACCGCCACCAGGTTATACTCTGGGTGCTCCGGGGCAGGTTTGTCTTCTTCACCGGTCGCTATATGGTTTGAAACAGGCCCCTAGGGCCTGGTTTGACAAGTTTCAGGCTACCATTCTTCAGCTGGGATTTCAGCAGAGCCTGAATGATCCCTCTCTCTTCACTCGTGTTACCTCTACTGGTATTGTTGCTCTTCTGTTATACGTTGATGATATGGTTGTCACAGGGGATGATGCGGCTGGTATACAGTTGCTCAAGGATGGTCTTAGTGCTGCATTTGATCTCAAAGACTTGGGTACGCTTGATTACTTTCTTGGTCTGGAAGTAGTGCGCAGTTCACGTGGGATTCTTTTGACACAGAGCAAGTATATTACGGATTTGTTGGAGGATCATCAATTCTCTGACTGTACCCCTGTTCGATCGCCCATGGAGCTGAATCTGAAACTTCGTCGTGACTCTAGTGAACCATTGACGGATGGCTCCAAGTACAGGAGCATTGTGGGTAGTTTAATCTATCTGGCTGCGACTCGCCCTGATATTTCATATGCTGTGCAGGTTGTAAGTCAGTTTATGACGCGACCACACCTTGATCATCTCTCCGCTGTGCATCGAATCCTCCGGTACCTCCAGGGCACGAAGGATGTTGGGTTGTTTTTTCCCTCGACTGGGTCGTTCTCTTTGCAGGCTTTCTCTGATTCTGACTTTGCAGGGTGTAGTGACACTCGCCGGTCCACCTCTGGGTGGTGTGTTCGTTTTGGGGATTCGTTCATTTCCTGGCGGTGTAAAAAGCAGGATCGAGTAGCGAAATCTTCCACGGAAGCCGAGTATCGCGCCATGTCTGATGTGGCTTCCGAGGTCGCCTGGTTGGTTCGCTTACTGGCGGATTTTGGCGTTCAGTGTCCGTCTCCTGTTGATCTCTTCGTGGACAACACGAGTGCAATTCAAATTGCACTCAATCCGGTGCTTCATGATCGCACCAAGCATATCGAGCTTCACATTCACTATGTTCGTGATCAGGTTCGTGATGGGTCTCTGCGGTTACACTATGTCAGTTCTGAAGATCAGATTGCTGATATTCTCACTAAGGCCCTCCCTATCAGTCGTCATTGGTTCTTGGGTGGCAAATTGATGCTTCGTGACCGGCATCAATTTGGGGGAGGCTGTTAGCCGAGCTGGGTTTGGGGTCTCTGATTGGTGTCTCGGCCCATTTATTTACCCATTTATGTATATGCTAAAAGCCCATGCCCATGCAAACTTGTACGTAGAGAGAGCTAGGGTTTGCTTGTTAGGGTTTTCGGCATATATATATAGATGTGTAAACCGAGTGTGTTGATAAAGCTGAATAAGAGATCCGTCTTCCCCGTGGACTAGTCGGTATTGCAATCTGCAATACTGGAAACCACGTAAATCTGTTCTTGTTTCGCTCTTATTATCGCTAAGCTCAAGGTAATCTAACAGTACTCTGCTGATTGATCATTCTTTTGCTGCACCCATTGGCAGAGCTGGTACCACTGCTTCACATGTTTCTGAAGATGAATGAGTGATGATCACGGCCGGGCGGGGTGCAGCTAGCCAGTGGAAGATCATGATCCGGGGATCGAGCCGGTTCAAAGGCCAACTGGATCATTGAACTGGAATGGATTAGCAGCCGCGTATCAAGAATCCCTGTTACTTTGTGGTTGACATTGAGAAGGTCGCCACCATGTCATCTAAATAATAGCTGTCTATCAAGGCGTCATGTCAAGTCATCTTAAGGTTTGATCCTTTTGGAGTGAGTTTGAGTACTTCAGTTGTTCTTTTTCTTCCTTAGATACCTAGGGAACAAGTAGACTGTAGACACAAAATACAAAGCCTTAATAGGCAATAAGCACCAAGCAATGAGTAAGAGGGACGATAATCGACATAAGCCGAAGCATTGATAAGAGAGGTTTTTTGTTATGATAAGAGCAGTTCTTTGATATATTTTTAACATGAGCAGAATCCCCGGCTTAACTTCTACCCTTTGTAGGTCGAAAGTCGTCAACCGAACCTCTCGCTTGTGATGAAAGCAGTACAACAAACCCTGCAAATCTAACGGACAAAAAAGCACATAGCAAAACCAAACGCAATTCTTTCATGATCAGAATAGTGGTTTGGGTCCCTACAAAATGAACAAACGCAATTGCGGCGAGCCCCCTAGCACCTCTGCAACTGGGGAAACCTTCTGTTCTACTCGCGTAGAGGCAATTGTACGTCTCCTTCTTTCAAGAACGACGCATCAAAACAAAAGCTCTGCGTACTTCACCGCTTCTTATATTCTAAAGTGCCTTATGGTTTGCCAAACTGAAAAGATGAAATCACTTTCTCCCATAATCATTTGGTCTTATTAACGTAAACAAGTAATACTGTTGTGTTGAAGATGATAACTAAGTGTGTTGATACATGACTTCCGTAGCTTTACAACAACGGATTCAGTGCGGTAATAGAAACATTGTCTTACCATCACTACTATACACAAGAAAGGCTTCATGTTCATATCAACTTGCAGCACAGCATGGCTGACTCTCAGGAAAGAAAGGTGGCCAAATCTTATCAAAACTCAGCCACAGAAGAAGAGGCAGATGATGAAGATGATGATTCACATCTTGCCTCCACGGCCAATGTCTTGGTAACCCTAGGGCATGGATCCCCGAACATGGAATTAGAAACCTCAATGTGGCACTTGTTTTTCCCCAGGCATGCCTGCAAGATTGAGGAGCAAGGAAACCAGCCACCATCAAACCATTAAACTGATCTAGGGATAGGTTTTGGGTATACAACCAAGGTCATGCATGAGTCATGTCAGACTTACCTCGGAAACCAATAAAGCAGAGCTAGCCGCATGGCAGCTGCCACGCGAAAAGCTCTGGCAGCTCCCCTTGGGAGTTCCGTAGCTAGCGAATTCTATGTAGGAGATTGTGTAGCCTTCTTGGCACTGTATATGCACTTCTGGTGCTCCGTCTGTGATTGAGATCTGTCCATCAACAGAGCTTGGACGAGACCACTTGGCGACAGGTGGATAGTCGGACTCCGAGACGCTGCCACATACAGTTCGAGAGGATCGTACGTTCACTGAAACCCCAAATGGATTGCCTCCTGTTTCCTCAAACAGTACGAGCGAGTTGCTGTTTGATTCTCGGAGCCATGAGCGTGGGACGTGGTACCTGGAAAATTCGAAAAATACAGCAAAACCATTTAAGTGGCATTGGCACCAAAAGAACTGGATTAATTCAGGGTAACAATAAACAAACAGTCATTATATTTGTTTACCATGTCTGAGTGGGATTCCCACAGTTTGTTCTGCATTTCTCTGGTCTGTATGCTCCAGCGTAATTGCAGGATTGGCATCCGTTTTTAGGAGAAACAATAGTCCAATATCTTCCGATGTGGTGTCCGTTCACCCATGCCTGGCCCTTTCCCATGCTTCCCAAATCAAGTGCAACTGGGTCAGTCCCAGCTGGTGCATCAAAGTAAGTCTGCACGAAACAGAGGAAGGTAAAGGCCAGAGTACAGACATAGGAGAAATGAAGACATGTCATGAGCGAGATCAGCTAGTTCTTAATTTGGAAACTCGGATTGTCTAACACTGGGAGGGAAAGGAAAACTTTTACTGACCTTCATAAAAAGCTTTTTCTTTAGCTCTGGTAAAGGAAGGAAGTATGAGGTTTACCTTGTACCAGGTGAAAGTGGATGGGATTACATCAGGCGTTAAATTACTCCATTCTGATTCCTCATTGCTCTCTTTTGAGTATAATTTTGAGAACTCCCCCTTGAGCCCAACCTAAAAAATATATGTAAGATAAGAACCTCATTGTGTTTCCGTCCATATGTTTGCTTTTCATTGAGGAGAGGGAAAACATAACATTTGAGAGTGGGAGAGAGGTTGCAGGAACATCTAGCAGGATGCATGATTTTGTACTGACGATGAAAAAGATGAAGCAGCTGGAGAAATCTAGAGAAAAATAGTTAATAAACCTGGTGAGTCCAGAACAAGCTTGAGAGGTCTATATCTCCATCTTTAAATCCAGTAATCTTAGTTTTGCCTCTAAATCCTGCTCCATCTCTCTCTAAGAAGGCACCGTAATTCTGTTTCATTCAATCAAGTAAACAACTCAGATCGGTACACTTCACTTCAGATCTGCTTCAGAATGAAGCACTGAGGTCGTTACTAAGAAATGCAGATGTAAGGCACAACTTGAAGATCGTCATACTGGCATGCATACTGGACTTTTACCTGCAAACCCATAGTCTGAGATAACAGCACTACATCATTGTATCCTTTTTGAAGCTTGACTGGCTGGGACACCTTAACCCACTTACCAGTAGTACTGCCTGAATCCCAAAGAGAGAACATTGTAAGCTTTGAATGGCACAACAGATTGAACAAGTGTGCAAGCTCGGGTTTTGACAGTCTAAAGCACAGCCTAAACTAAATAAAGGGCTTGATGCAGCATGTCAAGGTTGACAGGGATACATGCAACAGTGAGGAAGAAGATATTGATATACTTCTGTTCCTATCACATGATTCAACAATGCAAGCAAGAAATCAGTGTTTCTCTTGAGCCCCAAACTTTAACCAAGTACCTGGATCTTATAAATTAGCAGAAATCCAAAAGAACCTGATGTTTGCCATCATTCAAGATAATGTCCAAATCTAGCCCAAACCATCATCCCTATCTTTTTCGCCACCATTTTCGGGGAGGCGATTCTGCATCTATACTGTGAATTACTTCATGATTACAGTGTGAGCTTAGGTATCATCACACGGTCTATTATTACCATTAGCAGAACTTCCTAGTCATTCTATAGCAAGAAAGTAACTTCCTCTCGTTGAAGAGGCATAAAGAGAGGCGATATGAGACAGACATGATCACATGGAGAATAGAAGTGCTCAATTTAGGAATTACCAGTAAGCTGTCCGTTGATGAATATCCGTAAAACATCACGCATACTATCTATTGTTATGGCAGGAGTCACTTGGTTTTCTGCCCAGAATGCAACATCATCATCTGAAACATAAAGTCTGCAACCGAAAAAGTACATGTCTGCTTGAAGCCATGTGGGCAGATGATTTAATTTAAGTTGTTTGTGCTTAAGCTTAAATGAATTTAATACCACAAATTTATAAAGTCAGATCCTATCTACCATAGCCAAAAAATTATAGCCACGTTTGATTACCTGGTGAAATACCACAGGTAGTCAGATTGGTCCTTGGTCACGTTCAGGTGCTCCAGGATGCCTTTAGTAGTGAAATTATTCTCGCTCCAGATAGTAATTGGCTCTTTCACAACTAACCAGGACCCTGACATAAGTGACCCTTCCTCAGCCACGGATTGCCGAGGACTGGAGATACCTGGAGCCATAGGCAAAGCAAGCTCCACACTTTTTATGGAAGTTTGCGCCGTGACCTACCCTTAACACAAGGATGAAAAAAAGTAAGAAGAAGGAAGCAATTAGAAGACTACTAACTGGGGACAGCTAAATATGAAGCCAAACTTTCCAAGAAGCACATGCAGAGACCAAATGTCATATTAGATGAGTGAACCCCAGGAAATATCTTTTTCTTCTTGGCTTTCTAAACAGAAAACAAGATGCACCACTTTGAAAATTGAAAGATTTACTTGTATGAGAAACTAACGTCGCTAATATATTTAGGAAACTGAACTTCGTATAGAATTAAATCTAGGGCATGAAAGCCACAGAACTCAATGGCAAGCAAGGGCAAGAATTGCTAGTTCAAATGACATAAAACAAATAATGGATGCAAACCTTGGCGGTGTTGAACACAACATTCTTGCAGTCTGGTAGTACACTCACTGACCATGGTGGTAAAACATAAGACTGGCCACGGAACGAAACAGTTACCGTCTTGTGTTCATCAATATTCGCAAGGAATGCAGCGCACCAGCTTTGATTTTCATAAACATGTGCCTGACAGCAAGGATAAGCACTATATGATTTAATTTTGTAGGCACAAAGAACTTTAAATGCATTAAAATGAAATATATTCAGCGTGATTGCCACCAAACTTCTCAGTAAAAAAAAAAAAAGAAAAGCTAAAATGAACACCTTTCTGGAGGCTGTGTTTGCACAGGCAACTTATGCATCACTATCAAGCAAATATTGAAGCTTTAACTCAACGGCTGCCAGATATCTAATACAGCGTCACTGAAGAATCTATATGAACAAGTACTTTCGGTTTCCCTCCATGTCTAAGTAAAACGGGTTAGCAATTCCAGAATTTCGAAGACCAATTTCCCTCCTTGTAAATTACTTTACTAACCTATATGTTACTGAATGAAATGATCAACTTTCTGCAGGCTGTGTTTGGTGCGGGACTTATGCATCACTATCATGACAGACATTGAAGTTTTTTCTCAACTGCTGCCAGATATCCAATCCAGTGTCACTGCCGAATATATATGACCAAGTACTTTGGTTTCCTTCCATGTCTAAGTGAAACGTGCTGGCACTTTCAGAATTTGGAAGACCAGTTTCCCTCCTTGTAAATGACTATCATATATATTGCGGAATGAAATAACAAGGAGCAGTACAAACCTCTTGAGCCCATGAGCCCCAGTTTATGTACTTGGGAGAATCTGTAGCAGTTAAAGCAGGTTCGCAAAGCTTTATAGCAGCATGAAGTTCTTTCAAGTGGCCCCATTTGGGCTCTCTTAGAAGACCTGCGTTGGGAAAGGGACCTCGTCAGATTTGGGTACAATACTCACACTGGACTAAGTACCATGCATTCAAGGACAAATCAGTCCCACATTCAGCTCTAGTATAGTTTATAATTGTATATTCACTAACCATACTCATCCAATGGGGCATCATAATCATAGCTGGTTATATAGAACGGCCCTCCTGATGTCCGACCAAAGTTCGTTCCACCAAAATACTGTGATAAGACAAATGGTCAAAAAGCATGTCATGCAATGTATTAAAGCATACTCTGCATACACTGAAAACTATTTATTTATTTTACCATATAATAATTTTGGAAGCTCCCTCCACGTTGGAAGAATCGTGCAACTGCAAAGGCAAGGTCTTCAACTGGCCGATGTGGAAGGCCCTCACCCCATTCTGTGTACCTACAAATAATTGACCGCAAATTGTAAATAAAACTTGCTTTGCACTAGAAGAAAACACACCCAGATATGTGTTTGTGGTAACAGCATAAGTACAGAGTGCAGAGAGGAGTTGCTTCGTGAAATTAGATCATACAGAACATGGTCAATGAGTAGGGAGGACATGCTGCAGTGAGAAATTGCATATCATCTCAACTTGAAAACAAACAACAATTTTTTTGTACTGTCTCCTAGAATAAGTAACAAAGGAATGTCATACCATCCATCCCAATTCTCTGTCCAAAGAACTGGCTTGTTAGGGGAATTTGGTTTAAAACCATCACAGTAGTAATCATTACATGCATCAATCTGCACAGATGAGAAATCACAGCGTGAAACTAGCTGACATATTGACATAAAGCTTCCCATGCAGAGATCTGGTGTCATATAAAGCATATCATGATTCGAATATATGTAGTATAAAGAGCTTACAATATTTTCAGGCGCATCAGTTTGCTTGCACATCACCCATGGAACACCAGCACCAAGTCCCAAAGCCATATTAGCTGCCCATTGCATGTATCTCTTGCCCCCAGGACCAAATGAGTTTTCAATGTTTCCGTATTCATTTTCTATCTGTCAAAAGGTCTCTTCTGGTTATTCCATAATTAGAGGAGACCGACATGGAGTTAATGGTTCTTGGAACATTTTTCAGGACTCAATTATGTTCGATGGAATTTGAAGTACAGTTGCTGGACAATTATCAAACCTGGAAATGCTATGGCAAACCGAATAAAATATCAAAGTTGGGTTTCGGATTTAAATGAGATTCTTCTCAATCATACACACAAAACCATGTAACTGACGGGAAATAGAACAGTGACCTATTGACTTCAATGGAGATGGTTGACGTATAAAAGTTTTTCTTCACCAGTTCATTCAAACACATTTTATGATTCTCAAACAATGAAAGTTGTCTTACAACCTGTAACATGATGATTGGACCACCTTGCCAAGAGAATAGCATTTCCTTTCTCATCAGATCCACTATCATAGTAACAAACCGTTGCATTTCCTCCTGTTAATATGAAGGCTCATCAAGATTAGATTCATCGACAACACAGTCAAATTCAAAGAACCACCCTGTTTCAACAAACAAACAAAGACGAGAAAGAGAAGTCCGCATCCTAATGCTGCAATTAATTAAACACCCAAAGAGGAAAAGTAACAGAAGAAGAAACCAATCTCTGGGTATTTAAAAGAGAAATGCTAGTGGATTTGGATTCCTTTGGTAAGGAATTTCGAACCCAGGAATTTACAGTTTTAACAAGCAAAGATAACAACAGACTTGGTTAATAAAATTAGAAAACTGTGATGAGGTTGAATACACTTAGGACTTGGTTTTCCCTCCCGGTATAGGCTACATGCTCATTGTACCAACATCAAATATGTACATTCAAGAAATTAAAAAGTTCAAAACCAACATAACTTTCTTTAGAATAAGTGAGCAAAAGTAATATAACAAAAAAGAGAAAGCTTATCATGCTGAGAATTGTATGCTAAAACCCATAAAAACAATTGTACATTAAATCTACCTTGAAAGGAGCATTGTCTGTTCTAAATGCTATGCCTGGGATGTCACGTAGCCACACAGGAAAGCCCCTGCAAGTAAGAGAGTAACTGAGATAAGACAACTCATTCAATTATTACTAGGTTTGGAACAAAAAGAAGTTCGTTGTCAACTCTTTGTGCTTCGAATCCAAAGAGAAACAGCTTTTCCCTAAGAGAAACAGCTTTTCCCTAAAAACCCTCGTAAGATGTAGAACACAAGAAATCCCAATTGGGATATTAGGGATTGAGAAGAGAAGAAATTAGGGATTTGGGGAATTGGGGAAGAACAAGAGAGAGAACAGAGATTAGGGATTTGATAGTTTCTGTGTATTATTGCTTCATTCCCAAAACTAATGAAATGCGTCTTTAAGTAGTGTAAACCGAAATAACCCAAAATAACAAGTTTGCCACTCCTTCCCTCCCCCTCTTGGCCGACCGGCCCCCTCTCTCTCTCTAACCCGGAATCGGGTTTCCTACATCCCCTCCTCCTTCAGAATCGACATCGGCCTCGATGTCGAAGGCCGGGAATCTCTGGCGTAGCAACTCTGACTCCTCCCAAGTAGCATCGTCCGGTTCCACATGCTTCCACTGCACCAAGCTCTCTTCCACCAGCCGCCCTCCTCTCTTTGTCCACCGGGTCTCTAGTACCTTGAGAGGAACGAGCTCCAAGTCACCATCTGCTGTCACCGGAGGAGCCGTCGACGTCACCCTGTCCGCCTGGCCCCGGTACTTCTTCAGCAAGGAAATGTGGAACACCGGGTGTATGCGCGAACCCGCAGGCAGCTGTAGTCGATAGGCAACTGGGTTGACCTTGTGGATGATCTCGTACGGCCCGAAGTACCTAGCTGCCAGCTTCTGGTATGCCCGCCTGAAAACCGAGGACTGCCGGTAGGGGTGCAACCTCAACAGAACCCAGTCACCCACCTCAAACTCCTCTTCCCGCCGCCCTGCATCCTCGGCCTGCTTCATCCTATTGGACGCTGCAGCCAAATTAGTCCTCAACTGCTCCAGAGCTTCATCTCTCGCGCTCAACCACCTGTCCACCGCATCCACCGAGCTCGACCCACCTCTGTACTGCACCAATGTCGGGGGTGATCTCCCATACAGCGCCTCGAACGGTGTCATCTTAATAGACCTATGAAATGTGGTGTTATACCACAATTCCGCCCAAGGAAGCATGGCCAGCCACTGCCGCGGCTGCTGGTGGGTAAAGCACCTCAGATACTGCTCCAGGTACTTGTTAACTATCTCTGTCTGTCCATCAGTCTGCGGATGGTAGGCCGAACTCATGCGCAGTACAGTCCGTGCCATGGCGAAAACCTCCTGCCAAAACCTGCTCAAGAAAACCGGGTCACGATCACTGACAATAGACCTGGGAAATCCATGATGTCGCACCACTCCCAAGACAAACTGCTCGGCCACCATCTTTGCCGTGTACGGGTGCGCCAAGGGCATAAAATGAGCATATTTCGTGAGCCGATCCACCACTACGAACAAAACCGTCTTCCCACCAGAAGGGGGCAACCCCACTATGAAGTCCATGCTGATGTCCTCCCATACCCGTTCCGGGACCGGCATCGGCTGTAGAAGGCCGGCGGGTCGCAGGTAAGACAACTTCACCCTCTGGCATGTATCGCATGACTCCACATAGTCTCGCACTGCCTGTGCCATCCTGGGCCAGTAAAAATGGCCCTTAATCCTGCGAAGCGTCCTCTCGGCGCCGGAATGCCCTCCCAACGGCGAGTCATGGAACTCCTGAAGTACCGAGGTGACCAGGTTCGAGCCAGGAGGAAGAACTACTCGACCCTTGAACGTCACCAGCCCCTGCCGAAATAAATAATGACCCGGGTTATCGCTCACTGCGATTTCCCGGCAATCCTGCAAATACTGACTGGTCTCCATGGACGCCCGTAACTCATCCCAAAACTGCGGAACAGGCCCTGTCACTGCGGCGAGGATCTCGCTGCCCGGCTTCCTCGATAACCCATCCGCCACCACATTAGTGGGCCCCGGTCGATAGTGAATCTCATAATCGTAGCCTAGCAGCTTCGATACCCACTTATGCTGATCCGGAGTCGACACCCGCTGCTCGAGGAGGTGCTTCAAGCTCTGATGATCAGTGTAGATGTGAAACTTCTGCCCCAGGAGGTATGGCCGCCAGGTCTGCACTGCCGTAATAATCGCCTGCATTTCCTTCTTATACGTAGACCAAGCCTCCTTGGAGGGGGCTAGTGTCTTGCTCATGAAGGCAATGGGATGGCGGTCCTGAGATAACACCGCCCCTATTCCCCGGCCCGATGCATCCGCCTCGATCACAAATGGCTTGGAGAAATCCGGCATGGCTAGCGTCGGAGTGGTCGTCATAGCCTGCTTCAGCCGCTGAAATGCAGCCTCCGCTGCTGGTGACCAGACAAACCCCCCCTTCTTCAGTAAATCCGTCAATGGCCGGGCGATCATGCTGTACCCCTGCACAAACTTCCGGTAATACCCGGTCAGACCCAGGAAACCACGCAACTCCGTCACCGTCGTGGGAACCGGCCAGTCTACCATGGCCTGAATCTTGGCCTGGTTCACCTTCACACCCTGTGGAGTCACCATGTGACCCAAATACTCCACCTCCTGCACCCCGAACTCGCACTTGGATGCCTTGATATAGTACTGATTTGCCCGTAGAACCTCGAATACTGCCTGCAAATGAGCCAAGTGATCTGCCCAAGAAGGGCTGTAAATCAGGATATCATCGAAGAAAACCAGAACATACCGGCGCAGTAGGGGCCGAAAAATCTCATTCATGGCTGCCTGGAAGGTGGACGGCGCATTGCATAATCCGAAGGGCATCACCAAGTACTCATAGTGCCCGTTATGAGTGCGAAACGCCGTCTTATGGACATCCTCCTCCTGCATCCGGATCTGGTGATAACCTGCCCTCAAATCCAGCTTCGAAAAATAGCGGGATCCATGAAGCTCATCCAACATATCATCCACTGTCGGAATGGGAAAGCGATCCTTCACTGTGGCCGCATTCAGAGCCCGATAATCCGTGCAGAAGCGCCAGGTCCCATCCTTCTTCCTCACTAACAACACAGGCGATGAGAACGGGCTGGTGCTCGGCCTGATCAAACCCGTGAGCAGCATCTCAGAAACCTGTCTCTCGATCTCCTCCTTCTGCGAATGCCCATATCTGTACGATCTCACATTCACCGCCTCCACTCCCTCTTTCAACTGAATCTGATGATCAACCAGTCGGTGAGGAGGTAAGGCAGTGGGAGTCTCGAATAAATCCGAGTAATGGCCAAGCAGCTCCTGAAGCTCCGGATGGAGTTCCGGCGGCGCCCCTTCCTCGATCGGCCAACACAAAATGGCCAAATCAGCCTCGCCCTCCGGACCACAGTCCTCGATCGAGATAGGACCAGCCACGGTGGTGAGGCCCTGCAGCTGCCAATCCTTATCCCTCCATTTGAAACGCATGGTCAACCTGCGCCAATCACTAGTCACAGGACCCAAGCTCTGTAGCCATGGAATCCCCAAAATGATATCGAATCCCTTGATTGGCAGTATATACAGATCAGTGCATATAGGCAGACCCTGAATTTCCAAAGATATACCTCGAAGTACTCCTCCACAGCTCAGTGTAGAGCCATTCGCCACCTTCACCACCATGGAATCGGTGGCCTCGGCCACCTGTTGCAGTTGCTTGGCGAATTCCTCGCCTACAAAGTTCAAGGACGCGCCACTGTCGACCAGAGTGATGGCCAAACGATCCTCGATTCGTGCTCGGAAACGGAGGGTTCCCGGGGAGGCCCAGCCGGCCACCGAGTGCAGCGAGAGGCAGGGCTGAGGCGCGCCTTGCGCGATAGAGGCGGTCGCGGCAGCCGCCGCGGGGTGGGGCGCCGAGGGCGCGGGCGCCGGGGACGCGGGCGCGGGGAGCGCGGGCGCGGGGAGCGCGGACGCGGCGCTCGGCGATGGCCAGGCCGGCGGCGCAGGTCGGGCGACGGCGCGCGGTGCAGGGGCGGCCGTCGAGAGCAGGCGCGCGGCGGCGGGGGCTGCCGAGTCTGATCGTGCGGCCTCCTGCTCAGCGGGCAGCCATCTTCGTCCGATGTTGCGTGCTCGGTTTCTCAAATCTGCCCATGACAGGTCCGAGAGTTTGGAAGAACTCATTGAAGATCGGGGCTCTGATACCAGATGTAGAACACAAGAAATCCCAATTGGGATATTAGGGATTGAGAAGAGAAGAAATTAGGGATTTGGGGAATTGGGGAAGAACAAGAGAGAGAACAGAGATTAGGGATTTGATAGTTTCTGTGTATTATTGCTTCATTCCCAAAACTAATGAAATGCGTCTTTAAGTAGTGTAAACCGAAATAACCCAAAATAACAAGTTTGCCACTCCTTCCCTCCCCCTCTTGGCCGACCGGCCCCCTCTCTCTCTCTAACCCGGAATCGGGTTTCCTACATAAGATCTATTACAATCCTATACCAAGAAGTCCACTATCTTTACCAACTTTTGGAAATGAAGTCAGAAGGACTTCAAAATATCGCCTTTCTATTAACAATGCACACACATGGTGGCTGGTAATAAAAATTCTGCTCCATTCTTCATGAGACAAAAGAATGTTCATCATTCCATGGAAAAAAAGGGTAAGCATCTTTCAAGCAGATAGATGATAGAGAGGTCAAATCTCCTAAACATAGAGTTTCTTGTCTATTTGTTTTTCCCCAAAACAGAAAAACCCTAACCATTTTAACTTCATGTTGCACAGGTCCTTTCCTACTCCCCCAAAATTTAAGTTGAAGTTGAAGAAAAATCAAATCTTCCCTGTAATAACTCATCTTCTCCACTTAAAGCTTCAGTATCTTCAACTTACAGTAACAACTTAAACAAACACTAACATTCATTAAAAGGAGAATACCGTGAACCATCCTACTTGCATGCTAACCGAAAAGAAGAACCATTCTACAGTCATCAAAAGAAGAATACAGTGAACTATTCTACTTGCATGCTAACTGAAAAATTCAAGACTTAGCAAATGGTGCAGCAAACAATAAGTTGTATATCATGCAACATGATGTTGAAGAGAGACGTAATAGTATTCTGCGTGGAGTAGTAAGAAGCCAAAATACTCAGAAATTAAAGCGGAAAAGGTAGGTGAGACCCAAAGTTCCACTCTGCACAAACATAAGGACCAATGCGAAGATGAAAGTAGAGTCCACTGGCTCCCACTAGCTTCACAAACTTGACGAGATCAAAATTCCCTTCAAAGTTATACTGTGCACATGATCAAACATATCATCAGCAGCAAAGGAAGAAGCATTAGACTACCGACTTCAACTAGTACACTTTGCGAGCTGCTACCAATACAGACAAGGAGATGATGGGAGAATGACTGTACCTGTCCTTTAACCGGCTCATGCCCGCCCCAAAACACATATGTCTGGATCACATCTGCCCCGCCTTCCTTGCTCTTTGCAATCAGGTCCGGCCACATCTGACATTATGCCCAATTGAAAACACAACCACCAATCAACAAAGATTTCACACAAGCTAAGTCAAAGAGAAGTACACTTTGCAGGATTTAGCTTCAGAACGCAGATACTATGCGTTCTGATTGCCTCCGTAGATGAAGTAGGTAAGGTTGGACGCATCTATCTAGCTAAGTTCTTGGGCTAAGAACAATTTGATAACGGCTGCTTGATTATTAATAGAAGAAGACTGATCAGTCCACTTAGACACCGACTGAAGGTCTCAATCAATTTGTTCCCTTAGAATTACACTACATCGAACTAACTACTACCCAAGCAACACGTCGAATCGAACATTAGCCTCCACAAATTAGTAGAATTCGAACTCCCCCAATTTAGCAGCAAATCATCAAGTCGGAGCTCTGAAACTAAACTAGGCGGCGGCGATCGGAGAAAGCAGGAACGCTAGTCAAAATGGAAAGAGGAGCTGATACAACGAAAGAAGCGGAAGAAGATTTACTTGAGGAGTGGCGCGAGGGTAGTGGATTCCGGCGGAGATGAGCATCCGGCGCTTGCCGCCGATGATCATAGCCCGGTGATCATAGCTAACATTGAAAGGCTCGAAGAAGTTGGCATGTACAATCGCGAAGTGAAGGAAACAGGTCAACGAGAAGAAGAGGAGGAGCAATGTTGCCCCTCCTGTTGCAGCCATTTTCCGCGAGCTTCTTTTGGCTGGATGGACGGAGCCGGAGAGGAAACGCGAGACGGCAAGGAGGATCGGTTTCTGGTTTTTTAATAAATGCTCTTTCTTTAGCTTGTGGATAAAGCAAAACTTTGTAGGTGTGATGATAAAAAGGGAGTCTTTGCTGCTCCGTGACTGTGTTTGTGTGGGCGCTGCGGAGGATTGAAACGCCACATTGGAAGTAGAGTACAAGTGATCTCAACAATGGTGCTATGATGGCGACGGCTTCGTCTCGTTCCTAAATATGATATTTAATGTGGTTTGGTTTTGGTGATTGTTTGGTTGGGATAGGGGACATCGTATCATTTTTTATTTTTTTATAAATAATACATGCATTGTTTGCTTAATTTGACATAAATTATCACTCAAAATGAGCTATAGTTAAATCTCAAGTTTTTTGTGAGATTGTTCAGATTATTTGATTGAGATTATTGTATTTTTTTTTTCTTGCAACTATGTCCCTACCTTTCAATGTGTGTTGCTTTGTTTATATTAAAAACAAATGGTGGAATTTACATTTCACCCAAAAGTAATATAAATTATTTAAATAACACAATAACTATTACAAAAATCAAAAAATATAAACTACAATACACCAATTTTCATATATACATGTATATTATTATGCATGTATTGATGATAATGCATCTATTTAACTATCACCAAAACCAAACGACCTTGATTAGTGGTTTTTATTAGAAAGATCGATGTCATTAGCATCTAGTACGTATTATTAATAATTTAACGATCATGAAAAATCTCCACAATGGCATGACAAAGCTAAGACCAAGTTCAAGTTCGTAAACACTAGATTGATGTGTACCAAAATTAACATAATGACCACTGTATTAGCAAGATAATCTTCTACAAAATTAGCTTTTCTATCGGGTTGGATCGCGTCCTTAACCCTCAAACTTAATGAGTTTCTTAAGCCTTTTTTGGCCAATAGGAAGAGGAGAGAGATGGAGTCATGTAACTAACCCGTAACTAAACAAAAGGGTAAATGAGGGATTTTCTGTAATTATTAAATGCTAATAATTATTGTAATTATTTCTGAAAATGGTAATTTGACTATAACCACGCCACTCACTTACCATATGCAACAACCCGACCCTATCTCTCTCTTCGTTCGTTGCCAAAAAAAACCACCATACTACTCCGCCGGCGGTTTCTAGAGATTAGGAATGGCAATGGGCCAGGTCCGGGGCAGGTTTCTTGGTACCCAGACCCGCTTTGTGGCAGGTCAGGTCCAGGTCGGATTGATCACGGGTCGCGGGTCGGGGCAGGTCGACCCAATGGGTATGCAATTTATATGAAAAATATTAGAAATATTCGTTATTTTTATTATAAGACTAAGAAAAGAAACAATATTATGACAATTGTAGTTAAATTATTGGAAAAATTAAGGTTTTCACTAATTTACAACTTTCTTATAGCTAAACTGTGATGCAATAAAAGAAAATTCTTAAAGTAATTTGACTAAGATAACATGTAATTTAGACAAGAACGGGTCGAGAATGGGGCGGGTCAGGGCAGGTCGGGTCGATGAGACTACCCATGCCCGCCCCGCCCCGCCTACGGGGCGGGTCGGACCTGCCCCAAAACAGATCAAACAGGTCGGGTAAAACGGGTCAGGTCAAAATTTCCATCCCTACTAGAGATCCGTGGTGGCGAAGTTTCAGACTGAGGCTGCGAGCGAGACAGCGACTGTCGTTGTGGACGTAGAGGGAGACAGCGACCGCCGTTTGCAGAGATCGATGGCGGCGGAGCTTCAGAGCGGAGGCCGCGAGGGACGATAGTGACATCTTTTTCTTGCCGCTGCGCCGTGATTTGTTTGCCGCTACGCCGTGGTTGTTAAAAAAACCTGATCATGTCGGCGGGTTTCTCGATAGGTATGGTCTCCGGTAGGCTTCGGTTTTTTTTTTTTTGTTTGTTGTGCTTTTATGAGACAGTTGGAAAGTGCCCCGTTTTCATTGATAATGGTCATATTTTCATTCAAAATCGTGAAGTTTTTATTAAAAATAGGAATACAAAATGAAAGTTAAGAGTTTGTGTTAATAATAAGAATACAATATTTAAAGTTATTTTAAGAATGTTGAAAATATGCATTTTTTCATTAAAAACCTTAAACGGTTTTATTAATAATAGAAATACTAAATGAATGTTAAGAGTTTGTGTTAATAATATTAATACAATATTTGAAATTATTTTAAGTATGTTGAAAATACGCATATTTTCATTAAAAAGGTTTAACATTTTTATTAATAATGGACATCTAAAATGGAAGTTAAGAGTTTGTGTTAATAATAGAAAAACAATATTTGAAGATATTTTAAGTTATGTTGAAAATAGGCATATTTATATTAATAACCTGGGACGTTTGTATTAATAATAGAAATACCAAATGGAAGTAAATGATTATTAACACAATTGGCATCAAGTATTATCAACTAGTGGTTCAATTAGTAACCTTGATGATAACGGCATGTTATTAAGGAGCTACTTGTAGTTTTGTTTTGAGGAGAAATGCATGTTTCATTAATGGGCAGATTTGAATGCGCCACCTACTGATGAAGCGTTTGTGGCACCGTCCAATAGGCAAGGCGATCATGAAATAGAAGAGGATGTGTCTATAGATATGTGATATGATCCCAAAACGGCCAGTCTACAAATTGGAATTACTTGACGAAGAAGCAAGCTCAAGCTGCCTGAAGAACATTCATTTTTGTCAGTGTCATTTTCCGTGTTCAAGCAGCAGATTTTGGAGGCACGTTTCTCTCAATTGGCTCAATGGAAATTCAAGTTTAATGGCTTGTATTGAACATGAAGTGATTATCTACATCTTGGTATGCTTGGTTGCTCAAGAAGAAGTCACTAAGGTTTTTTCCAAAGTCTCAAAGTTGCAACCTCAAAACTGGAAAACTGCCAGAATTTGGCTAAGGCAGAAACTGTGTTCAAGAAGCCTACTTTGGAGCTCCATTCCAGAATCATGGATGAGATTCGAGTCCAGAGGATTATACCACATGAAAGTAGGTATGTTCTACTATAAAGACATGGCATTGGATGATTGGAAGCTTACCTGGAAGGCTTTGATCGAGAGGCTCAAAGATGGCATCAAAGCAGTTTGGTTACTTGGAGCTAAAGGCAGATTTTCCTTTTCTTGTTTAGTTAGGATTTCATTTGTTTTGGTAGTTTTTGATTCCTTTTCGTATTAGAATGTAATTAGGAGTTTATGGGACGTGTGTACCCTAGCTAGGCCTATTTAAGCTTTCTATTTCGTTGTAAAACTCATACTTTGATTAATCGAATTGAGAACCTTTTGGTTTTTGTGCAAGTTGCGACTTGTGTTGAGTTTGGTGGATTCCAAGCTCGTGAGCTCTTGTATCGATTGAATAGTCACTTCAATCGTGGTCGGGCATCTACCTTCTATACCAATCGAGCGTTCCCCAGGTGTGGAATTGTCCTTTTGGTTCTGTTTTATCCAAGTTCGTATTAAGAACGCTTCGTTCTTTATTCGAGCTCAATCGGTCTTTCGATTGAGTCGTTAGCTGCGTGACTTTGATAACATACACCCCCAGGGGCGTATTAATATGTCTTATGAAGGTAACATGTTTGGTTGGTAGTACGAGTATCTTGGTGTTGTTGTCTTATCAGGATGGTCGTTAATAATTGGAAGACTTGTGTTAATAATTGAAATTTAAACAGTTAGCGCAGATGATGTCACCAATGTTGATAGATTTCCAACAGATGTGCACACCAGGAAAGATGTGGACCTCTGCCACAATATGGATACAGGTTAGTGTTGTTATTAACAATAATGGTTATCATCAGTAATAGCATATGGGTAACCAATTATCCAATCGTGCAGTGCGGGAAGTTATTGATTCGGACGATGAAAGCACATGGAGACACCGTCGACTTTTGTCAAGGGGTCATGTTGAGCGGTTCTATAGAGAATATGCCCATGATAATGGTTTAGGCATGAGGAAAAACGGAGCTCCTAAAGTCAACACCAAAAGTGAATTTAGTGAGAGAGCTCACTATATCTATTGTGTGTGCAGCAAGAGTGAATTTTGCAAAAAGAGCGAACTGGATCCCAAAAACAAAGGCAAGATTGATAATACAGTCTGCAGACGGAATAGAGCAGAGACTACAACGGGTTGTCCAACAAAGATGTATTTCAAGCTAGACAAACAAACTGATATGTACTACATCGATAATTGGGTGGACGAGCACAACCACGAACGTCATGACAAGTCAGTAAATCATTTGATAAGGTCAAACAGAGAAGTCAAAGAAGCGCATATGTACCTTGCTAGACTTAACGAAGCCGCGGGGATAGGAGTGCGCGCTAGTTACACTACATTCTATCTAGCTGCTGGAGGTCGAGAAAATTTTGGATTCACCCCTTCAGATTTGAAGAATTGCATTAGAGGGGTTAGGCAGAAGACAATGGAGTTTGGTGGTGCAACATTCTTATATCGGCATTTCGCACGAGCATCTAATGCGGATCCGTCCTTCTTTTATGAGGTCGAGGTGGACGTGAACGAGGAGATGACAAGTGTATTTTGGGCGGACGGAAGAATGAGGATGGACTATCATTATTTTGGGGATTCCATTAGCTTTGATACAACCTACCGAACCAATCAAAATTGTCGTCCTCTAGGTACGTTCTCTAATGATGTTAGTTTCTATTTTCAAATTGTATATACGTAACAAGGAGACGATATTGTGTTCCAATACTGTTGATTACACATGCTTGTTCACTGAGATAGATGTGGGACATCGTTGATAATGGAGGACAAATGGGGTTTAACTCATGGGTTAATACATGCATGAGGACTTATTAATAATGTGTATGTATTCGTTGATAATGCATGTTGTTGTGTTTGATGAGTTGTTAATAAGTTAGTGATAATGCATGTGTAATTTATCAATGACCCATATGTTAATACATGCATCAGGACTTAATAATAATGTCTGTGTATTCGTTAATAATGCATGTTGTTGTGTGTTATGAGTTGTTAATAGTGGATTGGGTATGCATATGTAATTTTTCAATGAGTTTTTAATATATGCAACTTTATTTGTAGGATGGAACCACCACAAGGAACTATGTGTGTTTGGGGTTGCTCTACTGTATGAAGAAACATCAGAGACTTTTGATTGGCTCTTCCGATCATTCTTGAAGTGCA